ACGATTTTGAAAGTTGGTTCCCCAAAATAGGAATCAGGTGGAAGTTGGTTCCCCAAAATAAAAATCAAGTGAAAGTTGGTTCCCCAAAATAACGATTTTGAAAGTTGGTTCCCCAAAATAGAAATCAGGTGAAAGTTGGTTCCATTTTGGTGCAATTTTCCCTTTAAGTTATATATATATATATATATATATATATATATATATATATATATATATATATATATATATAGAGGAGGGATCAATTGCAAATCACGCTCGTTTGTGAAAATCTTACAAACCAATCTCGTTCATCCATTTTCTTGATCAATGATCAAGATTAAATGAGTTCATATTAAGAAATAAAAAAAGAATAGATTATAAAAGTTTAATTTTTAATTGAAAAAAGGGTAAATCTGTAAAATCTCCAATATTGGAAGGTAATAAATATTGTTAATTTTGAAAACGTAATAATGAAAACGTTTCATATAGAAGGAGGTAAATCATTTCTTCTTAATATAAATGTTTTACCATTAATATGTTTTATTACTGTTTACCATTATGTTTTATAAAAATATGAATTTTAAAAGCAGTAAAATATGAAATCTGTATTCCGTTTCATTGAAAAAATACATGTACTTTGAGTAATTAAACTAATTTCATATTCAATAATGACCAGCAAAGAATATCACAATATTTTGGGACGTTATGAAAAACGTTTATTAAATAAAAAAATATTCAGTTTTCAAAATGTCTCATTAAATTTTTAAAAATGTTTCATTATTTATATGTTTCATCGTTCAACACTAAATGACAATCAGTCTTTCTTTAATGGAAATCACGTGAGTTCGTTCTATAAACGATTAAATAGTTTTGTTCAATGATTTAATGATACAAAATATTTTCTTTAGTATTCAAATTGTTTCATTATTTTTTGTTGATTATAGTATGTTTTATATTTCATAATTTATTAGGATATACCTAACTCATTGTAGGTTACAAGGAGTCACGTGAGTTAGGTAGATGAAACGGTGAAACAGTTTCATTCGTGAAATTTAATGGTACAAAAAATTTGTTTTAGTATTCAAAATGTTTCATTATGTTTCACAAATGAAATTTAATGAAACAGTTTCATTCGTAAAATTTAAAAGGTTTCAAAAGTAAACACTTTGAATACTAAAGCAAATATTTTGTATCATTAAATCAATGAACGCAATTGTTTCACCGTTTATAGAACGAACTCACGTGACTTCCATTAAAGAAAGACCGATTGTCATGTAGTGTTGAACGATTAAACATATAAAGAATGTAACATTTTTAAAAATTTAATGAGACATTTTGAAAACTGAATATTCTTTTATTTAATGAACGTTTTTCATGCATAAAACGTTCCAAAATATTGTGAAATTGTTTGCTGGTCATTATTGAACATGAAATTAGTTTCATTACTCAAAGTACATATATTTTTTCAATGAAACGAAACACATATTTCATATTCTATTGCTTTTAAAATTCATATTTTTATAAAATATAATGGTAAAAAGTAACAAAACATATTAATGGTAAAAAATTTATATTAAAAATAATGATTTACCTCCTTCTATATTAAATGTTTCCATTATTACGTTTCCAAAATTAACAGTATTTATTACCTTCCAATATTAACCAATATACAATGAAATGACTATTACACCCTTGATTAAAATTAAAGAAAAAAAAAACGGAATTTTCCTATTGGTCGAAAGTGGTTTGCATGGTTTTCATGAATTGATTGGTTTGCAATGTAACACGCCTCTCTCTCTCTCTCTCTCTCTCTCTCTCTGTATATATATATATATATATATATATATATATATAATATAATTAAAAAAAATAGTAATATTAAAATTTAAAAGATTTTTATCCACTTTACCCCAACAATCCAAATAAGGCTCACGAAAAAATCTAGTTTATTTGTCTAATCATGGTGTTAGTTGTACGATGTTTGAATTTCTGGTTACTATTATATTGTAATCTAATACATTGTTTGTAATTGGTTCGATTATGTTTGAGACATTTAAACTTATATCTTTAAAAAATTGTAATTTACTTTTAGTTGTAAAGATTAACATATTGTAATTTTTTAGATCGGTTTCGGTTATAACCAATAGTGAAAGGGAAAAGGAGAATTTTTACCCTTAACTGGTTCTCCAACGGGGATCGGGCAACCGCGGTGACCCGTTGGGGATCCCCGATAAGATTCCCGACGGGGATCGAGCAGTTATAAGAACGGTTTTAGTTATCGGTTTCGGAGACGATGATACCAATAATCGGCCTGAATCCGACCCCTTGCCATTCCTATACAAGATGTTTGTGGTTTCAAATCGATTCTCTAATTAATATAGACTATCCAGATTAATTTATAATTTTCTATTTAGTTTATTAAATACTTGATTCTATAAGGTGGTGTTTATTTTCTAATAATTGTTGAAGTATAAAGTCTTATTTCACTTCTGATTCATAAGAGGTGGTGGTGAAGTCTGAAATATGAATTAATAAGATTGTTTGTTTTTGTAAATTGATAAACGTCTGAATTTGTTTAAATTGTTTATTTTACCCATTAAAAATTTATATCGTTGAATTTATAAATAAAGTTTATACAATTTCACATATTTATTTATCATCATTATGAAATTTACATCTAAATTATATAATTAACTGTTGGTCCCAAAAGGGTCTACAAGAATACTAAACAGGTTGTAGAAGGGGGGGGATGAATACAAACACAGTTTTCAAATTTAAAATATATATTGATAAAGAAGATCAATACAGATTTTACAAGATTGTTTGCGGAAAGATAAGTTGAGAGAAACCTAT